GAAAAAATAATGAAATCTTGCCATTTCCAGCACTGAATAGAATTGGAGGGTATTAGGCTAAGCGAAACAAGTCAGTCAGGGAAAGACATACGATTTCACTCATATGTTGAATTTGAGAAACTTTACAGATGAACATAGGGGAAGGGAAGGAAAAATAAGACAAAAACAGAGAGCAAGGCAAAACATGAGACTCTTAAAGACAGAAAACAAGCTGTGGGATGATGGGGGTGGGTTAAGTGGGTGACAGGCATTAAGGACGGGCACTTTTTGGGATGAGCACTGTGTGTCATGTAAGAGATGAATCAGTGAGTTCTACTCCTGAAGCCGACTACATTGTATGTTAACTAACTTAGGAAAATCAACAACAACTAAGTTTTGGTATATGATCCAGCAATTGTACTCCTAGATATTTACCCAAATAAATTGAAAACTTTTGCTTGTACAAAAACCTGAACATAAGTGTTTATAGAAGCTTGTTCTTAATTTCCAAAACTTAGAAGCAACCAAGATGTTTTTCATTTAGTAATTAGACAAATAATGCAGTTAACCCATACGAAGGAATATTACTCGGCAATGAAAAATAAATTAACTATTGAGCCATGAAAAAATATGGAGAAACCATAAACTGCTTAGTGTCTTAAGTGAAAGGAACCAGTTTGAAGAGTTTAAATATTTTATGATTCTATATCACATCCTGGAAAAGCCAAATAGTAGAGTTGGTAAAATAATCAGTGGTTGCTTGGATTTGGGGAGGGAGGAGGAATGGCTAAGTGGAGGACAGGGGATTTTTAAGTAAACTATTCTGTGCAATACTGTAATAATGAACACATGACATCATGCATTTGGCAACACCCATATAACTTTACAACACAAAGAGTGAACCCTAATGTAAACTATTGACGTTAGTTAATAATATATTAGTAAAGCTTCATCAGTTATAACAAATTCACCACACCAGTGCAAAGTATTAAGATATTAATAATAAGAGAGTGTCAAGGAAAGAGAACTCTGACTTTTAGTCAGTTTTTCTGTAAATCTAAAACCTAAGACTGCTCTAAGAAAGTGCACTAATTATATTTTAAAAAGTGCGCTACAGCATGAGTTCATACCAGTACTTCCAATTCAGATTCTTTTTTTGTTTTTTTAATATTTTTATTTATTTCTAGGAGAGAGAGACAGCGTGAGCAGGGGAGGGAGACACAGACTCTGAAACAGGCTCCAGGCTCTGAGCTGGCAGTCAGCACAGAGCCCGACGCGGGGCCCGAACCCACAAACCGCGAGATCATGACCCAAGCGAAAGTCGGATGCTCAACCGACTAAGCCACCCAGGCGCCCCAGTACTTCCAATTCAGATTCTTAATTATTGGCTTTTTATTTAATGCTTTTAAAAATCTTATATCTGGGGGCACCTGGGTGGCTCAGTCGGTTAAGCGTCCGACTTCAGCTCAGGTCATGATCTCACTGTTTGTGGGTTCAAGCCCCGCGTCAGGCTCTGTGCTGACAGCTCAGAGCCTGGAGCCTGCTTCAGATTCTGTGTCTCCCTCTCTCTCTCACCCTCCCCTGCTCATGCTGTCTCTCTCTCAGAAATAAATAAAATACATTTAAAATTTTTTTTAAAAAGATCTTATATCTGTATCCATTTTATCCTATGCTTAGAGCTCTAGTTATTGTGAACACTAAAAATTATAGGATTGGAATGTCACATAATTACTTATTATATCCTACCTTATAAATACAACCCTCTAAAAGAAGATTGACAGTACTATCAACAGTATGGTTACTCAGAACAGTTTGAGACAATTGTTTTAGTAATTCTTTTTCCCCCCATGTAGAGTATATTTCACAGATTAATATGTTTGAAAGTTATTTGAAATAATTTCTTTGTATAGTTATTCCAACAATTGTAAATACTATTATTTTTTAATTCAGTATTTTCCTTTTACACTGTGCTTATTATAATTTGTTTTGTAGTAACACAGAATACTTATATATCTCCAAAGTGAAATTTACAAAACAACTTGTATTGAAAGAGGTCTGACTTCTATCCTTGCCCCTTCACTTATTCCTTCCCCACCCTGCAATCCATCCTTTAAAAAAAAAAAAGCAAATGTGTTTTATACGTGCATACTTACTCTTCCCACCTTCCTAAGAGAAAAGGCATAAGTATACATGTTTTTTTCCACATTTTCTCTCAATTAATTATGTATTTAAACAGCATTTCATATTAATATACTCCCTTTTTTAAAAAAAAAAATTATTTCTGAGAGAGAGACAGCGTGAGCAGGGATGGTTCAGAGAGAGAGGGAGACACAGAATCTGAAACAGGCTCCAGGCTCTGAGCTGTCAGCACAGAGCCCGACGCGGGGCTCGAACCCACAAACCGTTAGATCATGACCTGAGCCGAAGTTGGCCACCCAACCGACTGAACCACCCAGGTGTCCCAATATATTCCCTTTTTTAAACTGCTGCATAGTACTTTGTGATGTAGATATACCATTAACTACTTCCACCAATCACCTACCAGTGGACAATTGGGTTATTTTTTGAAAAAAATTTTTTAATGTTTATTTTTGAGACAGGGAGAGAGGAAGAGGGAAGTGCAAGTGGGGAAGGGATAGCGAGAGATGGAGACACAGAATCCAAAGCAGCCTCCAGTCTCTGAGCTATTAGCAGAGCCTGACACAAGGCTCAAACTTACAAACTGAGATCATGACCTGAACAATGTTGGGCTCTCAACCAACTGAGCCACCCAGGTGCCCCAAGTTGGGTTATCTTTTATCTCTTGCTGTAACACATTGTGCTTCAGTGAAAACTTTTTGACATCCTATTTTTGACATTTTGGTTAGTGCAATTTTGGGATTGGTTTCACAGAAGTGGAGCTGCTAGATCAAAAGATATATGTAATTGTGCTAAATACTGCTGTATATCCTTAGGTTCCTTTATACCATTCATATTCTTACTAATAATATCTATAAGTACCAATTTCCTTACAGTCTTGCTAATAGTATTTGATGTCACATTGGGAAATGCCCTGTTCTAAGAGGTAAGAAGTAGCATCTCTGTAGTTTTTTAAAAGTACTTTATTGAGATATATTTCACATACTGTACAGTTCACCCATTTAGAGTAAACAACAGGGGCTTTTATTCACAGTCTCGTATAGCCATTACAATTTTAGAACATTTTTATCACTGCAACAAGAAATCCAATATCTAGTAGTAGCCATTTCTCATGTTTCTCTGTCCATCCCCCAGCCCTGTGCAGCTACTGATTTTTCTGTCTATATGGATTTACCTACTTTGGATAATTCATGTAAAAGCAATCATATGATATGTGGTCTTTTGTGACTAGCTTCTTTTACTAAGCATAATATTGCAAGGTTTATTCATGTCATAGCATGTGTCAGTATTTTTATTGCCAAATATTCTGTTGTAAGGATACACCACATTTTTATTCATTCATCAATTAATAAATGTTTGACTTGTTTCCACCTTACGCTTATAATGAAAATGCTATTACGAACACTGTATTCATGTTTTTATATAGATACGTATTTTCAGTTCTCTTGGCTCTGTACCTACAAGTGGATTTCTGGGTTATGTGGTAACCCTATGTTAGACACTTCTCTTGGGGATATAACTAGGAGTGAAATTGCAGGGTATTATGGAAACGTTAGCTTTTTGAGGAAGTACAAAATTGTTTCACAAAGCAGCTATACCATTTTACATGTCCCATCAGCAAGCTGTGAGGATTCCAATTTCTCCATATGTTCACCTCTGTGTAGCTTTGATTTGCATTTATCTTATGAGCAAAATTGAGTATATTTTCATATGGTTAAAAGCTATTTAAATTACTTTTCTAACAATTGTCCTATTTTCCTAGTCTATTTTTATATAGGGTTGATGTCCAGTTTTATATAGTAGTATTTTTTTCCTAGTCTAATTTTAGAAACTGCATACACACACACACACACACACACACACACACACACACGGGAAACTGCAGCTTTGCAACTATCTTTTCCAAGTTTGTCATTTTACTTAACCTCTTGTCTTTTTGACATGCCAACCTTTCTTTTTTCTTTAACTATAATGCAGTCATTTTTATCAAATATGACTAGGAAAGTTTTCCCCATTCCTAGTTTATAGAAGAAGTCACCCAAGTTTTATTCTAATTGTATGCATGTTTTCATTTCTGTAAATATGGATATCTGATCCATTTGGAATTTATCCAACTGTAAGATATGCAGAATTAATGCAGTTTTTTTTCTATGTGTTTATCCATGTTTATCAATTTAATTTATTAGAACATGTTTTTCCTACCGATTTGAGCTGCTGGCTTTTATTGTATACTAAATTTGCACGTATAATTGTTTCTGGATTTTTCTTTTCTGTTCCATTGGTTCCATTGACATCTTACGAATATGATATGCGCTTTGAGTCTACTGTTTCTACCTTAGCGGTTTCATTTTTCAAGGAATATGAAAATAACATTTTCTTTCTTTTTACCTTATAGCTTGGGAATCGAGATTGAGACCAAAGATCTGTTCTCAAAAAAAGGAATTTATGAAATAGAATCGTCTCAGTGGGAGATAATAGAACAGCTTACAAGACTTAAGTGTGATTGTAAAAGTCTTCAAGATGATAGGGAATGCAAAGACCAGTTTGAAAGCCAATTGGGAAATAAAGAGGGACTTTTCAAGCAACTACTAATCACTTGTAAAGAAATTCCCAATTTTAGCCAGACTGCATCCGTTACGTTAAAACAAAGAATTCGTTTTCCTGAGAAGTCCTATGAATGTAAAGCATGCAGAAAATATTTTATCCATGGCTTTCAAATGACTGAACACCAAAAAGTTCATTCCAATGAAAAATTCTACGAATGTAAAGAATGTGGACAGGCCTTTGTTGGGGGTTCAGAACTTACTTACCATCAGAGAGTTCATGTTGTTAAACCTTATGAATGTAAGGAATGTGGAAAAGCCTTTATTTGTGCCTCACAGCTTACTTATCATCAAAGAATTCATAGTGGGGAGAAACCTTATAAATGTAAAGACTGTGGGAAGGCCTTTATTCGTGGCTCTCATCTTACCCAGCATCAAAGAATTCATACTGGTGAACGACCCTATGAATGTAATGAATGTGGTAAGGCCTTTTTTCGTGGCTCTCAACTTACTTACCATCAGAGAGTTCATACTGCAGAGAAACCCTATCACTGTAAAGAATGTGGAAAGGCCTTTATTCGTGGCTCCCAACTTACTGAACATCAGAGAATTCATACAGGTGAGAAACCCTATGAATGTAAGAAATGTGGGAAAGCCTTCAGTTATGGCTCACAGCTTACTCTGCATTACAGACTTCATACTGGTGAAAAACCCTATAAATGCCAAGACTGTGAAATGTCCTTTATTCGTGGCTCACAACTTACTGAACATCAGCGGATTCATACAGGTAGGAAACCACATGAATGTAAGCAATGTGGAAAGACCTTTAACTATGGCTCACAGCTTATACGACACCAGAGGATTCATACTGGAGAGAAACCCTATGAATGTCAAGAATGTGGGAAATCGTTTATTCGTGGCTCACAACTTACTGAACATCAAAAAATTCACACTGGTGAAAAACCTTTTGAATGTAAGGAATGTGGGAAATCCTTTATTCGTGGCTCACATCTTACTCAGCATCAGAGGATTCACACGGGTGAAAAACCCTATGAATGTAAAGAGTGTGGGAAGGCCTTTATTTATAGCTCACAACTGACTCAGCATCAGAGAATCCATACAGGTGAGAATCCCTATGAATGTAAGCAGTGTGGGAAGATCTTTATTTGTGCCTCACAACTTACTTTACATCAGATTTCTCATTCTGGCAAAAAGCTGTACGAATGTAAGGAATGAGGTAAGGCTTTTATTCGTGGCTCACAGCTAACTTACCATCAAAGAGTTCATACTGGTGAGAAACCCTATGAGTGTAATGAATGTGGGAAAGCCTTTATTCGTGGTTCACATCTTACTCAGCACCAGAGAATTCATACTGGTGAGAAACCATACAAATGTAATGAATGTGGGAAGGCCTTTAATCGTGGCTCACAACTTACTCAACATCAGAGAATTCATTCTGGTGAGAAGCCTTATAAATGTAATGAATGTGGTAAGGATTTTAGACGTCATTCACACCTTACTCAGCATCATAAACTTCATAATTGAGAAAAACTTCATGAAAATACAAATGTATTAAATCTTTTGATTGCCCATTGTTACTCAGCTTTGGAATATCAGAAAATTCAGATGATGAAAGTCGGAATCCTTTTTTACTTTCACTTATGGGTAACTCACTATCAGAAAATTCAAACAGAAAAAGGCTAGAATAATATAATGGATAATCCGTTTCCATCATTTTTCAATCTTTTTTAGAGATTAATTTATACAAGAGTGCAGCCGTAAAATGTAGGGTTTTCGTGTTTGGCATCATTCTCTTGTTCAGCATGATCTGAACTCCACCATTTACTACACATGTTTACTTTGGAAAAGGTAGTTAACCCCTGTTTGCTTTAGATTTTTCACTTATAAAACATTAAAATCATTCTCATTATAATGATTTAAAGATGCAAATACATATAAAGCCTTAAAGCAATGTGTAATACATAGTTTATACTCAATAAATATTAGTTATTATTGTAATTGTGTTTTTCAGTATTTTAAAAAATTTTCTTCTGGGCTCAAGAATCATCTTGCTTGCTTGCTTTTTTAATTGAAGTTTAGTTGACATCCAATGTTATTTTAGTTTTAGGTGTATACATAGTGATTTGACAGTTCTGTACTTTATTCAGTACTGACCACAATAAGTGTTGTTACCATCTGTCACAATACAACATTATTACGGTATTATTGACAATACTCCATATGCTGTACTTTTCATCCCTGTGATTTGTTTAATTAACTTATTGATAGATTGATTTTATAACTGGAAGTTTGTACCTCTTAATCCCCTTCACGTATTTCATCCACCCTCCAAACCCTCTACTCTCTGGCAACCATCAGTTCTCTGTATTTATGATTCTATTTCTATTTTGTGTTTTAGATTCCAGAGATAAGTGAAATCAGATGGTATTTGTCTTTCTCTGACTTACTTCACTCAGCATAAGATCCTTTAAGTCCATCCATATTGTTGCAAATGGCAAGATCTCATTTTTTTATTGCTGAGTAATATTCCATTGTATATACATTCTGCATCTTGTTTATTCATCTGTTGATGGACATTTAGGTTGCTTCCATATCTTAGCTATTGTAAATAATGCTGCAGTAAACATTGGGGTACATATATCTTTTCTTTTTTTTAAATGTTTTTTTATTTAGTTTTGAGGGAGAGATAGACACAGCATGAGCAGGGGAGAGTCAGAGAGAGAGGGAGACACAGAGTCCGAAGACAGGCTCCAGGCTCTGATCTGTCAGCACAGAGCCCGACGTGGGACTTGAACCCACGAAACGTGAGATTATGACCTGAGCTGAAGTTGGACGCTTAACTGACAGCCACCCAGGCGCCCCTGCATATATCTTTTCAAATTAGTGTTTTCATTTTCTTTGGGTAAATACCAAGTAGTGGAATTACTAGATAGTATGGTATTTGTTTTTTTAATCTTTTGAGGACACTTCATACTGTTTTCCACAGTAGTTGCATCAATTTACATTCCCACCAACAATGCATGGGGGTTTCCTTTTTTTCAGTATTTTAATTGTATACTATTTTAGAATTCAAACGAGAGGAAGACTTTTCAATTGAATACAGTACATAAGGTAAATCTTTTATCCTTCTTACTAATCATTAGATAAATGATTTCAGAGCAGAATATCCTAATATAATTACTGTGAGGTTGTACCTCATTCTGAATGTTAAAATTCTTATTAGAAGGAAACGTTAAGAAAAAAAATAAGTGTTTAGCTATTACAAATAAAGCTACTCATGAACATTTGTGTATAGATTTTTATGTTAAAATAAATTTCCATTTCTCTGGTAAATGCCTAAGAGTACAATTTCTGGGTCTTACATTAAATTCATGTTTTCTCATACAAGAAATGGATAAAGTATTTTCCAAAATTGCTTTGCCATTTTACATTCACACTCCAAGAGTATATGAGTAACCCAGTGTCCCAGCATTTGGTATTGTCATCACTTTTTCTTTTAGCCCTCATGATAGGTATGGTGATGTCTCTTTGTGGTCTTAATTTGCATTTTCCTAATGGCTAATGATGGTGAATACTTTTTCATGTGCTTGTCATTTGTATATCTGTTTTGGTGAAATGCCCGTTTGTATCTTTTACTCATTTTTGAATTTTTTTGTTTTTCACTCCTAGGTTTTGAAAGACTGTTTTCTTATTCTAAATGATAGTAGTCCTTTGTTATGTGTTTTGCAAATATTTTTCCAGGTGTGTAGCTTTTCTCCATTTTTTTAATTTTTTTTTTCTTTTTTAAGTTTATTTATTTTGAAGGAGAGAAAGAAAGAGAGTGTGAGTCGGGGGAGGAACAGAGAGAGAGGAGACAGAGTATCTCAAGCAGTCTCTGGACTGTAAGTGTGGAGCCCTACATGGGGCTTGATCCCACAAACTTGTGAGATCATGACCTGAGCCCAGGTCCAGAGTCAGATGCTTAACCAACTGAGCCACTCAAGCACCCCTTTAACAGGGTCTTTTGAAGAGCAGACGTTTCCAGTTTTGATAAGATCTGCATTATCAATTTTTCCTTTATGGATCTTGCTTTGATGTCAAATCTAAAATTCCTTGCCTAGCCCATGGAATTTGCATAAATTTTTCATAATTTTATGTTTTACTCATAAGTCTGTGATCTATTTTGAGTTATCTTTTCATGTACATTGTATGCTTTAGCTTGGTATCTTTCTTAGTTTGTTTTGGCTTATGGATGTCCATTTACTTTAGCACTGTTTGCTGAAAAGACAGTTTTTCCTCCATTAAATTGCCTCCGTCAAAAATCTATTGAATTTATTTGTGTATATCTCACTTCTGGGTTTTCTGTTCTATTCCATTGATCTATGTGTCTCTCCCTCTGTCAATATTACACTGCTTTGATTATTGTCATTTTATAGACGTCTTTTCTTTTTTCTTTTAGAGAGTGTATGAGCAGGGAGGGGGGCAGACGGAGAGAGAGTGAATCTTAAGCAGGCTCCATGCTCAGTGTGGAGCCCAACATGGGGCTTGATTTCATTACCTGGGATCATGACCTGGGCCAAAATCAAGAGTCGGGTGCTTAATCAACTGAACCACTCAGATGCCCCTATAGGATGATACGAAAAATGTTTTTATAATCATGTAAAAGTAATGTACCATGTACTACCTTAAAATTATTTGTTTTGAATTCTTTTACTAAGGACCATATCTCTGTTAATTTAATTCCAATATGTTAGCCTAAAATTTCCTATATTTCAAGTAATGCTAGAACTCCGATGATATTGGAAAGAAAGATTCTGTGGTCAAACAAACCTGTAAATCATGGCACATTTTACATCACTTTTTAAAGGAATAAGCTCATTTTATTTCATCATTTTATTACATCATCAGCTGTAATAAATATTGTAGTAAAGCAGTTTTTTAAAACTTTAACCCATTTACTTGACCATAAATCCCTTCTTTTGATGCTGTTAATATCTTTTGCATGTGAACTACTTTTTTAAAAAGATTTTTTAATGTTTTATTTATTTCTGAGAGAGAGAGAGAGCGAGACAGCGTGAGCAGGGAGGGTCAGAGAGAGAGGGAGATACAGAGTCTGAAACAGGCTCCAGGCTCTGAGCTGGCAGTCAGCACAGAGCCCGACACAGGGCTCGAACCCACGAACCATGAGATCATGACCTGAGCTGAAGTCAGATGCTTAACCAACTGAGCCACCCAGGTGCCCTGCGTGTGAACTATTTTTGTAAATGCTCCTCTAGCTAAAAGAAATATTACCTCAGAAGTGGAAATTCTAAAACATTATAGCTTGAGGCCAGCTAAGTTTATGAGAGAGCAAGCTGATTTCTCTGTAAACCAATCACATTCTTTTTCTACATATGGGACCCTTGTCCTTTTAAAAATAAAGGGAAATCCCTCTATGTAACTATCTTCCTTCACAGTCCTTTCTTACTCTTACCTATACCCTACTTCTTGTTCAATTTATCGAGATATCGAAAACAAAAAACAAGAAAACAGGCTTGTGGAATTTTAAAAGCATGGTAATAAAATAAATGGCTTTATCACTGATATATCTAGTCCATAAATCGAGTTTTCAGAATTATAGATTGTTTTCTAAGGTAAATGGTGTAACAAACAGAAGAATAAAGGTCAAGTGGACCATGATGCTATTACTTTGTTCTCTGCTTCTAATGTTTTTTTACTTATTCTCAAAAGAAATGTTAGAAATTAAACTTACATTTTTATGTAGTCTTTTTCTTATCATATTTGACTGAATTGCCCTTCTGAAATTACATAAAGCAATTACCTCCAAAACAAGAAATTATAGCAAATATACATAAGGAAAAAAAGAAAATATGGCTTCCTTTTTTTTTTTAATGTTTTATTTATTTCTTTTTTTTTTAATGTTTTATTTATTTCTAGGAGAGAGAGAGAGACAGCATGAGCAGGGGGAGGGTCAGAGAGAGAGGGAGTCACAGACTCTGAAACAGGCTCCAGGCTCTGAGCTGGCAGTCAGCACAGAGCCCGATGCAGGGCTCGAACCCACGAACCGCGAGATCATGACCCAAGCAAAAGTAGGACGCTTAACCGACTAAGCCACCCGGGCACCCCTGTTTTATTTATTTCTGAGAGAGAGAGACAGCATGAGCAGGGGAGGGTCAGAGAGAGAGGGAGACACAGAATCTGAAACAGGCTCTAGGTTCTGAGTTAGCTATAAGCACAGAGCCAGATGCGGGGCTTGAACCCATGAACCGTGAGATCATAACCTAAGCTGAAGCCAGATGCTCAACCGACTAAGCCACCAAAAATATGACTTCCTAAACTAACATGTTAGAAGCCTCATTAATACTTTTCTGTAGCCTTCTTTATGCTTAAATGTACATGTTTATTATACATAGTTCTTTTATTCATGGTTGTGGATATTTATATATTTAAACAGGATCACTATATGGACATCGAACTGTGACTTTTCCTATAAAATGGACATCT